TAGGGCTACATGGTAACTGGAAAGATCGTACAGATGTGCACACATGGACCATCCTTGGGGATGCCCAGGAATAGCAGAGGGGTTCTGCAGTACTGACTTGGGACAGGACTAGACAAACTCTGCTGGCAACTCTAATTTGGCCCCAGAGTGATATGGTCAAGAAAACTTTGGTTACACAACTACAGCCCTTCCCCCCCATCCCCCAGAACCTTCAGGGTTGCTTCAAAGCCAAGTCGATCACCAGGAGCTTGTGCATTACACTATGCCTTCAAGAAACAATGATTTAAGGTTACTATGCTTTACTTCTTGCCAGAGGTAATTGAGAATGTTTTCATATATAATATAAAACTTTCTATAATGACAACTTTTAGTATAATGCTTCGAACTTCACGTAAAAAAAATCCTCCTGATTATTTGCTCTTAATCTGCTAAGAATGTTAGCTCTCACATTTCACTAGCACACTTCCTTCCTTCTTTTTTTCTTCTTTTCCTTTTTGCTACGTTTAGTGTGATGCTCAGTTGGATTACCTTTCTTCAGTGTAGATAGATTTTAAACTAAAAATACCTCTTGCCCTCCTTGCCTTCCACTCGGCTCTTGTCTGGGGTGTTAATGACTGTTGTTTTTATCATTATTCTATTTCAATATGTCTTTCTAGTAAGTGCCCTAAAGTACTTGTTTGAAGTAGCTGGAATTTACTAAGTAAATGCACCCATTACTGAGTGTGTACGCAAAACTTTAATGTTTCTTAGAACAAAGAACTCTTTCTTCTAATTGTTATCTTTTTCTTATTTATTGTATCTTAATTTTATTTAGTTTTGCTATTGAGTGTGTGTGCTTGCCAGAGAGAGAGAAAGTGAGAAATCACCCCCGCCTTCCCGGAGGAACTCTTTCTTTAAATTGCATATTGTTTTTTCTTTTAGGCACTTGGAGTTGAGAATAATGCTGTCTTTTTCTCAACATATTTTCATATGAGGCAACTCTTTGTTCTGTCAAACAGATTTATTTTCTTTATCAGACAAAAATGTGAGCAAAAGAATATGATCTCATTGCATAATATTCCTGACACAATACCCTGGGCTCCAGGCTGCAATAAAATGTGGCTTTCCAGATGACTTAGGAAACCTTTCTGTTGTGGAACACCTGTTCAAAGAAGCCCTGTTTGAAAGCGTCCACTATTGTTCATTCCTTAGTGGCACTACAGACATGCCCTTGTCCTGACCTTCACGTTGGCATTGAATAGGGAAAGGCTAATGTTCAGGTTCCTGGCCCCGCTTTTTTTTTTTTTTTTTAATAAGAAGAAGAAAATAAAAGCTATATTGAATGATGCATAGTTATTGAAGTCAGAAAGCTTCTTTTTACTGGAACAGACACAAATCAGCATCCAGTTCAAAGAGCTTTGACTAAGTTAACAAATCCATGGAACCATCACCAAGATCAATAGTCAACAAGCTACCAGCACCCCAGTAGCTGTTCTCTTGCCCCTGTTCTAATCCTAACAGTCCCCTACACAAGGCAAGCATAATGTATGTATATACACACATACATACATACATCTCACATTTCTGTACACACACACTCACATCACATTTTATTTATCCACTTGTTTGCTGATAGACACTTAGGTCAATTCCATATCTTAGCTACTGTCAATAGTACTACAGTAAACATTGGGGTGTAGATATCTTCATGACATACTTCCCTTTGGATATATTCCTAGTATTGAGATTACTGATCAAACAGGAGTTTTATTTTTAAGTTTTTGAGGAACTACCATACTGTCTTCTTAGGGACTATACTACTTGTCCTTTCTACCAACAGCATAAAAGGATTCTCCTTTCTCTGCATCCTCATTAGAATTTATCTTTTGTCTTCTTGCTAATAGCTGTTCTAGCTGGACTGCAATTACATATTATCATAGTTTTTATTTGCATTTCCCTAATGATTAGCGATGTTGAGCATTTTTTCAAATGCTCATTAGCCATTTGTATATCTTCTTTTAAGGACTATTTTTGTAGGCCATTTGCCCATTTTTTAAGTAGGGATTTTGTTTCTGGATTTTTTTTTTTTTTTTTTTTTTTTTTTCTGCTGGGTTGTTTGAGTTCTTTGTATATTAATCCTGTGTCCAATTTTCAAATATTTTCAAATATTTTCTCAACTTCTGTAGGTTGTCTCTGTACCCTGTAGATCATTTCCTTTTGAATATGTTTCTTTCACAAACTGTTCAAGTTTTCTGTTTATTTTTGTACTCTATTGCAACATCACGAAGATACTCTCCTATGTTTTTTTTTTTAAGTTTTGTTTGTTTTACATTTAGGTCAACAGACCATATGGAATTGTGTATGATGTTTAGGTTATTTATCTTTCCATTATGTACACAATTAACCCAGCACGACTTATTACGAAGACCATCCTTCAGCCACTGCTTTGCAGTATTACTTCTGTCATAAAATATTTATGTATGTGGATCTATTTCTGGACTCTTTAATCTGACCTATTGTTCTATTAGTGTTTCACCAAGTAATAGGATTTTGAGTTAGGAATATTTATCTGTCAAAACCAATGTTCTGGAACATTTGACTGTAGGTCATGTGGAGGTTTGAAAAAGTAAAATCAATATGTAAAAACTCTACTCTGAATATTACAACCAGAAAGAATAATAGAAATCTTTTCATCCAATTTTTGTTTGTTTGTTTGCCAGTGGGCACCTGTGCTCACCAGAGAAAGATAGAGAGACAGAGGGGAAAACAGATAAAGCACTCTTCTCCATGGGAAATGCAATTCCTTCTCCTCCATTTCTCTATCCTGTATGTTAGGCACACATACACATATGCCTGGCATATTTCTCAAGTTGCCAGGTCTGGGGCTCAAACTGGTGGTCTAGCCATGTAAGATCCAGCTGCTTTAATCACTGGACCATGGAAGTGACTCACTTTATTTTTTTTTAATTTTTGGTAGAGCATACAAGCTCACTGGGCACTCACCGGAGAGAGACAGAGAGCAAGAGGGAATGTGAAAAATGATTCCTGGGGGGATGACCATACTACAGTCCCTTCTCCTCTACCCTCCTCTTGGTATTTTGGGTATACATGCACACATACCTGGCATATTTTCCAAACCTCTGGATCTGGGACTCAACCAGCACAGCTGGCCATGTGGAATCTACTTGTTTTCACTACCACACCACCTGGTTGGCCTCATCAATTTCCTTATTTTTGAAATGAAAAAAACAGGTCTATCTAGGTGCACTTGTAACTTTCTATTTACCAAGCCATATTCACTCTCCTTTCTTCTCATCTGCTATTCCCTCAGAGTTGAGACTCCAATTAATAGGAGTCCCACCTTTTTACTTGTTAGTTTAGCTTATGGAGAGCATTGATCTGATGACAGAAGAGACAGAGATCAAATATTTATTTCCTTAGTGGGACCAGCAGATGACATAATGATTACATCGCTGGTCTCCCTCATAATCAACCACAGTTTGTGTCCTGGACCCAGCTTAAAACTTATACAGGATGCGTGCGTGTGTGTGCCCAAGATCACAAGAAGAAAATGGAGGAGAAGGGATTATGGCATGGCCACCCCCCGGATGGTGATTTCTCACTTTCTGTCTCTCTGTCCCTCTCTGTTTTTCCAATGAACACACACATGCTTATAGCAAAAATCTCTCTAAAAAAATTTTTTATTTCCTCAATTATCTCCCCACAGTCTGGCTAACTCTCTCCATGGAAATTTACAACTCCTATGGGTTGCTCTCTCTGTATATTTGTCAATAATTAACTCCTATCTTTTGCCCCAGGCTTGGTATGGTAATTGTATCCCACCACTACCAGCTCCAGGATACTACACTGGGATTCTGATTGTGTGACTAGAGGCATTCATCTTCTGATGGAAGAATGGCAGTCAGGACTAGAAAAAAGAGCCCAAGGTCACACATCATCCATCTCTGGACAAAGGTTTCTAGAAACTGCCACATGATGCTTTTGTTCAAATATCATTGACTATAACTTGGTTTCTTGATTACATCTAGCTATAAAATAAGAAATATTCTAGATAGCTACGTGCCAAGCTAAAAATTGTTTTATTTAATGATTATTTCTTTCTTTCTTCCATGAGAGAGAAATAGTGGAACAGCACCTCCAATAGGGTCTTGATGCCACCATCCACCTCCAGCTTCAGCCCGTTCTAGATCATGGGCATGTGCTTTCACGGTGTACTTGGAGAGCTCTTCCAGATGTGAACCCAGACCTGTCTCATATGGGTCAGCCTCACAGAGCAGTTGTGTTTTGCTGCTGCATCACTGTCCAACCCCTAAACATTGTATAAGCTAAATATATCACCAGAGGTAGTGAGCAGACTCTTATCACCCAGTCAATTAATTCCAGTTTAGTCATTAAACATGTATTCAGTGCCATTTTGGCCACTTACTATTTTAGGATTCAGAAATGAATAATGTACAGTCTTGGTCTAGTCTCATGCAGGATAGAGATTCCTCCATCCAGTAAATTACCATGTCATGACTAGGAAGGCATTTGAATTCAAAGAGCACATAAGACAGTATTCCTGCCTCAAACAAACAGCCAAGAAGGCATTTCTTGGTTATAGCTCTTAGTAAATACAGGTCATCCTGGAAAAGAACAAGAAGAGAACTATTCTCTGAAGGAAGATTGCAAGTATACCATGGAAGGAACAGACCTTCCAGGCTTAGAAGCAATATGACGAAGACACAAGCCATGAAATCTCAGTCCTAACAGGGAGTAGCAAGTGTTCCTGGAAGTCTGGAACATAACCTACATGGATTGGGATGGGTAAAGATGAAGCTTTAGCCAAAGACAGTGGGACTGACTATGCTAGCTATTTGACGAATTCTTCCACCCACCCTACCTTCTGATCTCTTTGTAGTACTTGCCCATGGAGCGCTTCTAAGTCGCAAATGACTGATAATATCTTAAAAGGCAATACATCAATCTCAGGATCAAGTTGTGTTCCTCAGGAAACTTACCAGAGATCTAAATCTTGAAATTTCAGCCTCCTGCTTCACTTGAACAGTCTGATAAAATTCTGGAATAAGTTGGTTGGGCCTGACTCATTTCCAGCCTTGGAAAGAAAAGGGGAGGGGAGAGGATCAGAAGTGACTCAGAGTGGTTTATTTTGCACTAGAACAAACATTTAAATAAAAATATTGGCTTTCTCCCCCCCTTTCCAGAGATATATTTTGGAAAAGAGGAGGGGAAGGAAGAATGACTGCAAGGACGGAGCATCACTATTCTCATGAGAATGTACTATGTGCCAGACAGTATTCAAAGTGCTAGGACACTGTGGTAAGCAACAGTCCTTACTACGCAGTCATTTTATAAGAGGAGGAAACCTTTTTAAAAATGTCTTGTTATCTAAAATTTTTCAGGTACTGATAAATACTAAGAAAATAATAAAATAAAATAATAAGGGCAAAAGTGACTAAAGATGGTTTAGTTAGGGTAGATAGAAGTTCTAAGAAGTAACAACTAGGTTAAGACCTTGTATTAGTTTCCTATTGCTGCTGTAACAAATTACTAGAAATTCTGTGATTTAAAACATCACAGATTTATTATCTCATAGGTAGGTAAATAAGAAGTTCAACAGGGGACCGGCAGACGGCATAATGGCTGTGTCACTGGACTCCCAAGTAGTCGACTGATTCGAGTTCCAGACCCAGCAACTTGAAACTCATGCTGGGTGCATGTGCATGTGTGCCTAAAATCCTGAGAGAAGAATGGAGAAGGGATTGTACAGTGGCTACCCATCCCACACACCAGGGGGTGATTTCTCACTTTCTGTCTCTATCTCTCTGGCAAGTGCACACGCCCTGTGGCAAAAATCTATCTTAAAAAAAAAAAAAAAGTTAAGCATGGGTCTCACTTAGCTAAAATAAAGTTGTAACAGGACTATATTCCTTCTGAAGGTTCTGGGGAGAAACTTCTGACATTTCCTTGCCTCTTCCAGCTTGCAGAGGTGGCCTGCTTTCCTCTAACTTCAAAGCCAGCAGAGGAGCATCTGCAAATCTCTCTTCCTCTAACACTCACTCTCCCGTCTCCTTACACTTAGAAGACCCCTTGTGATTATACTGGATCCACCTGGATAATTCAGGATATACTTCCTATCACTACATCCTTAACTTAATCACATCCCTTATGCAAATAAAGTAACATTTACAGGTCGTGCAACCTCATTAGCAGCCAACTTCTGCCTAGCACAGACCTAAATGATGAAAGAAAGGTAGCCGCGTGTAGATTCTAGGAAAGTACATTTTGAGCAGAAGGAAGACTATGTATAAAGACCCTAGTAAAGAAATAAATACAGCACGTTTTTGAAAGGTTTCTGCCAGTGTGCACATGTGCTCATCAGAGAGAGACAAAGAGAAAGAGAGAGAAAGTGAGAAAGCACCTCTCCACTTGGGGAATGGCCACGTCACAGTCCCTTTTACTTCATTTCTCTTCCCTTTTCGGAGTTTGGTCATGCAAGCACATGCCACTGCCACATTTTTTAAGCTACTAGGTCTAGACTTGAGCCATACAGTTGACCATGTGGGACTTGGCCACCTTAACCACCTTGCCATGGGCTGGCCCAAACTTAATACTTTTATGGAACAGAAATCTGGAAACGAGGCCAAATCTCTGGAACCTTTTTTTTTTTCTGTTATAGTTTGGAAAGGATATTGCTGTGGTTTAAATGTACCCACCCAAAATTTGTGTGATAAAATTTGATTGTGATATGGTTAAGAAGATAAAAATTTAATCCAATGACAGAATTAAGAGATGGGGCTTTGGAAAGTGATTCAGATGAAGGTCATTAGGATGGGACCCCTATTATTGAATCTGGTAGGTTTCTAGGGAGAGGGATTGAGTCAAACACACAGACACAGACCACAGACGCTCTCGTTCTGTCACACCCTATAATGCCCTGTGCCACCTCAAGGCTCTAGAGAGAGTCCCCACCGAGAAGGCCCTCACCAGATGTGGCCCTTGACCTTGGATCTCCCAAACCATGAGCTAAATAAAACTTTATTTTCTATAAATTTCCTAGACTCATTAGCAGCACAATAAACTAAAATAGGAGGTTTATGTGAGCCTGTCTCATCTCAGAAATTATACGGAAGCAGAGCGAAGCACCCAGAGTCAGAGAGCACAGCTGGCAGGCGTTTGCTTGTAGATAGACTTGCTGGCTGCCTAACTCTGACGCTTGAATGAAGTTTTCAAAGTCGTATATTCTATTAGAGAAAAAAGCACAAGTTGGGGCTGGCCCCAGGGCCCAGCAATAATACTCTGCTCATGAGAGGCTAGATCCCACAGGATAACCACAGTTTGAATCCCTGGTCAGATCAGCCTGAAACATGCCAGGCACTCAGGTGAGTGACCACGCTGATGGGTGGAGGGGTGGAGGAAGGGCTTGTTGCCTGATCAGACCCTGCAGAGAGTGTCCATCTTCCTCTGTCTCTCCCTCTCTCTTGCATACAGGTGCGCATGCTCTACATGAATAAAGAAAAAATTATGATTTTCATACTATTTTTAATGCTATCAAAATCTTTCATTGGAAATACCATTCTTTGATTTGATGTTGGAACACAATAGCACTGATTTTTAAAATATACCATTTATTCTCTATCAGCAGAAAAAAATCTACAGCTGCAGAAAGTTAGAATATCAAGAATGATATGACATCAAACAGGAGGTGTAGAGTGTCTAGAAAACAGATGCTTCTTTTTTTAACATGAATACGTGATTTTTTTTAAAAAAAAGCATACAGTTTAAACACTAAACTAAAATAAATCAAATGCTTTTTAATAACTCTCATAGGATAAATGTTTTTAGTATTCTAGTTTAGTGGCATAGTGGGTCAGGAGAAGGTCAAAAGCTGACTTCTCCAAAGTTCACATTTTATTATTGTTTATCTCAATCTGAAGATTGTGCTCTTTTTTTCCATTCAAGTCAAAAATCTTTTCTAACTGTAAATTCTTCCAGGTTTTGTTTGTTTGTTTTTTGTAGAGGTTTTTGCCTTGCCATGCATGTGCTCACTGGAGAGAGAGAGAGAGAGTAAGACAGAGAGTGGGAAATCACTCCCAGGGATATGGCCACACTGCAGTCCCTTCTCCTCCATTCTCCTCCCAGGATCTTGGGCACACACACACCTGTGCCAGGTGTGAGTTTCAAGCCACTGGGTCCGGGTCTTAAACCACGGTCGGCCATGTGTGAGTCCAGCAATGTAACTGCTATGCTATCTGCTGGTCCTGAATTCTTCCAGTTTTAATGAAGCAAAATATCTACTGAAATGCTATGCTACCAATAATGACCATCATCAACATCATAATGTTTCCTATCTGCTGTAACTTTTTACATTCATCAGTATTTCTTTAATGAGTGAGAAAGACAGAGACAGAAACAGACAGCACCCTCAACAGGGTCTTAACACTACAACATGCCCCCACGTTAGCCAGCTCTGGGTCATAGGCACATGTGTACCTGGCATACGCAGAAAAGGCTCTCAATGCAAACCCAGGACCCAATTGCACAGGTCAGCCTCACAGAATATTGCATCACCAATGCACCACCTTCTGGCCCCCCATGCTGTTCGTAATATGTCAAAAGACAGAGGAGATATCAAAGGACCCCTGTGAAAACTCAGCAACACCCCCGCAATGTGCTCTGAGCTCCTGGCAGCTCAGGATTAAAGAGGTCGACCAGCACGTGAGGAGGTACAGAGACTGTCATCTAATTGCAGGTGGGTGACCAAGTGAGGGGTATAGGATCCACTCCCATTTAATAAGTCCAGCACTCCCTGACTGCTAGTCTGCATAACGTGGTAACTTTTTATTTTCTTTACTTATTCACTTGACTATTCCCACTGCCTTTAACATAAAATCCTTTTAAACGTAATATCTAAAAAACAGTGTCATCACAAAGGAGACAGCTATGAACTGATTTTTGGGGTCTTTTCAGAATTGTCTTCTGTATATCATAGAATAGTATCATATCAAGCCACAATACATCCCGTCCTATCTGTTCGCCTCTTGTGAGCGATTTCACACGGTACACAATGTTGTGCAACTCGCATTTTTTGCTTTGCTCGGTCCCCCGGGCAGCCTTGCATGGCAGCCAGTCAGCATTTTTAGAGTGCCCCAGGCAGAACTGCAAACCTCATGGTTTCTCTGTGGTTCCCTGCTTGTGCCTAAAGAAGAAAGTTACTGAAATGTGTCCAGCTCGTGGCTTTCCAGAGAAAGGAATCTATTGTGTATGTTACTGACTTCATCCCAACATACGATTTTGCTTTGGCACTTAGTATATTATTTTCCTTATCACATCATCTGAGATCATTAAAGGACTTTCAAATGTTGCCTTCATTTCTCTTGTGGCCCAGGAACAGAACTCTTAAAAGGCTTTCATACTTATCCTCTCAATAAATATCCATTTGATGCCCCAGGTCAAGTACTTTTTCTGAAAGAGTATTATAAAATGGGATACAACTTGAATCTATTATCATAAATGATAAAACAAAGAGGCCAACATGCTTGTGAATTTAGAAAATTTTTTTAAAGTATGAATGTTTTTTAATAAATTTTCAAAGTGGCAATTCACTTTGCTTAGGGGCACATAGAAACAGCATGAGTTGGTCCAGCCTATTTAGTGATTTCCTCTTCAAACCAGAACCCGTGGCTGCAACACAAACATGGAAAGTTCTCTGTTGATGCTTATGTGTATGTAACATCTTTACCTATACTGACATGCAGTGTATTCATGTAGGGACGATTCATTTTGTATACTGTGGAGGCATACAGTGATTAATATATATTAGAAAAAAAAAGGAAAAAGAAAAAAAAGGAAAAAGAAAAATTTTAAAAATTATTTTTATCAAAATCACACAAAATATGGTTTTGAAAAGTGGATCTCAGTTAATGTCCTCCCCCCAAATTTTCCCCTTTCCAGCAGGTGGTGTAGTGTGAAGGTGCTGGACTCCCACACAGCCAACAATGGTTCAAGGCCCAGACCTGGAAACTTGAAAACCATACCAGGTGCAGGTATGTGTTTATCTAAAATCCCAGAAGGAGACGGGAGGAGAAGGGGGCA